TTTTGCGGAAAACAAATCTGAGCTGTCTACACTGGCCCTTTTGCACAAAAGGACTTTTGCCCGAATGGGAGCAGCATAGTATTTCTGCAAGAACACTGGCAATCTTACATGAGATCGTCAGTGCTTTTGCAGAAATTCAAGCGGCCAGTGTAGACAGCTGGCAAGTTTTTCCGGCAAAGCTGCTGATTTTCCGGAAAATGATGCCAGTCTAGACGTAGCCTTGAGGTTTGTGATTTTCATTTTCTTTTGAGACCAAGAACTACAAAGAGAGGAGACATGAGAGAACATTAAAAGGAAACATAAACCTTGAAACTAACAACATTTGATTTTAAAACAATAGCAGGATGCATTTGCTTGTTTTCAAGCATGTAATTGTGCCATTCTTCTATTCAAGGATGAAGACATGTTTCTTAAAGAAGGCTTGAAATCCATTCTTCCCCTTATAGTGAGAAGTATACTTCAGTTCAACAAACTTAATATAAGTAATACTTCTGGAATGGCTAAGGGTAAGTGAATACAAAATCTGTAGGTGGACAAGTGAATCCCATTCCTAAATATATCATTCTCCACTTGGAAAGTATGACCTAGTAATCACATCTGCAGTGCCTGACTGCCAAGGAGCTAGTGAGGAGGGGAGTCTTCTTCTACCAGACTCCAACCCAGGGTAACAAAGGCTGTCTTCCTTGGGCCTCTTCCTCTTGTCTACCTCCCTCCCCACACACTAAGGTCAGCTTAGTCCAAGGTTTTTCCCTGGTAGCAAAATCTAAACCACAATAGGTAAGGGAACATAAGAAGTATCATACTGGGTCAGATCAAAGGTCTACCTAGCCCAGTATCCTGCTTTCTGACAGTGGCCAATGCCAGGTGTCATAGAGGAAATAAACAGAACAGGTAATGGTCAGTTGATCCATACCCTGTCAGGTTACCAATATCCAAAGAGTCCCCAAGAGGTTGAGTTCTTCCCCCCAGAAGAGCTCCTTTAGGCCAGTGTTTCTGAAAGTGTTCCGTGAAATCACTTTGAAAATCACATTAACTGGCTGCCCTGGTTTGTTTATTTACAGGCAGTCCCCGGGTTACGTACAAGATAGGGACTGTAGGTTTGTTCTTAAGTTGAATCTGTATGTAAGTCGGAACTGGCATCAGCCGCTGCTGAAACTTCTTCCCCCCAGAAGAGCTCCTTTAGGCCAGTGTTTCTGAAAGTGTTCCGTGAAATCACTTTGAAAATCACATTAACTGGCTGCCCTGGTTTGTTTATTTACAGGCAGTCCCCGGGTTACGTACAAGATAGGGACTGTAGGTTTGTTCTTAAGTTGAATCTGTATGTAAGTCGGAACTGGCATCAGCCGCTGCTGAAACTGATCAGTTTCAACAGCCGCTGAATCTGGACGCCAGTTCTGACTTACATACAGATTCAACTTAAGAAACCCAGGCGTCCCCAA